AAATGGTAATTTAATGAGTTTTTAATCGATTCTATTATCTCTCTCTCTCTCTCTCCCTCTCTCTCTTGTTATTCTATGCATAAAATATTAGATGAAATGATTATAAGATCCGACAAGATCACTGAAAACTAAATACTTTGCCATATATATACACGGAGCTTTTCATAATTCGCGTCCATTAATCACAGAACGCTATTCTTTAATGAAGAATATATAATAATATATCGGAAATATATAATTATCGGTGACTTCAAATATCAGAATATTCGAGTATTACTTATAATTTTTGATATATAGATATTACGAGCATGTCTTGCGATTTTAATATCCAGATAGCTGGATAATATCGAAGATATAATTAACTATGTATTCGCGTACTATTCAGAAAGCCGGGCTTACCCGGGTAATACCTACGCAAATTTTGGTGACGGATAGACATCCGTCAATTTAGAATAGAGATATATTCGGCTTATAGCATTACTTTCAATATAGTATACTCTTCGTCTTTACAATTCGAATATAAACATTTTAAATAATACAAAATTAAAATTAGTTCAATAATTATGTCATCTGCGAGGAAATTGACGAGATACCACGGACTTCCGCATCGTAACGGACGAGAGCTGAAGCATACGAGTGATAACGAGTGCGCGAATGGAGCGTAACGGCTCGTTCGTCGCGGGGGAGGCAGCGAGGGGTGGTGATGCAAAGAGCACCAAACGTGGCACCCACATTGACTGTGCGTGGTGGGGAATTAATTAGTTAACCGTCAAAACGGTCACCGGTCGCTGTGGAAAAACCGGTAAGCGAATTCGAATCTGTGCGCCGATGCGATTGTTTTCGAGCGTGGGAGGCCGTGTCATTCGTCGCCGTTATCTGCAAACGGTGTCGATGAAAAAGAGAAAGAGAGAGAGAGAGAGAGAGAGAGAGAGAGAAACAGAAGCAGATTTATCCCGCCGCCACCAATGGCGTGATACCGGAGGCTTGTCTATCGGTTCGACATCGCACAAACCACGGGACGCGCGGCTGTTTATAGTGGGGGTGCTGACGAAGCGTAGTGGGGTACAACGGCAGGATGTAGGTGATGCCGCTCCAGAGAGAGAGATACACCGGATCGGGTGAAGAAGGTGGGGATACTCGTGCGGGTCGGAGATGTACCCTCTCCCATGAAACCCGGCCGGGTTCCCCAATCCGATGTGGTAGGGTGTATGGCGTGTACGGTGCGACGTGGAGGGGCGACGAGATTGTCGGGTTGGCATCGAGGTGGCGGCAGGAACCTCGGGACGCAAGCTACAGAGCGGAGTGAAGGGAAGATCCGGGCATACGAGCGAACACGGGGTGGGGAATGGACAGACGAGACGGTGGAGCCCGAACACGTGCATAAAACTCGACACGGAGCCTAGTTAGGGTTAGTTTGCGACCGGACGAGCGACTGTGCGCTTGCGTGACCCTCGGAGGGCTCCTCTCCTCTCTTTCTCTCGCTTCGTCATCAAGGGTGTCGCGTTACGCTCTCCTCTTCCCATCCCGCGCGGTGCGCCCGCTCGCAAGCAGCAAGCATGAACCGAACCTCCGAGGGTCCCGCGACCTTCAGCCCGGTTTTCCCGAATCGGGACCGCGCCAGATTGAAGTCTCTCATCCGGCACGCAACGATCATCCGCCGTTACGAGAATCGCCGAGGATCACGGATCCAAAGAATGGATGAACGGAGGAGCGAAAGAAACGAGAGGTACGAGGTACTGTTGAACACTTGCTGGAAGGAACATCTCCGAAAAGGATGAAGATTGTTCTTAGGATCGTTCGTCCTCGGTGAATCGCTGATTCGGAGATAAAGAGACGAGGGAGGACGGAAGATGGCAAGACAACCACAGTAAGTACATGATAATCGAACACCATGTATGATCCATGTAATATCGTCGTGGAAACCTTGAGTAAAAAATACCATCAGCTAACATCGATGAATATCAATATCGTCATTGACGTATTATAAAAACGTCATTGTGGTTGTCGGCTTCTTGACCTCGTCCTTCATTTCTACAACATACGAACCAACAGTACAGAAACAGGAAGTTGCAAGGCGAACAAAATAAATCTTAAATTAACTACGTACCGATAACAAGTAGAAATGAAAAAATGAGAGAGAAAGAGAGAGAGAGACATAGAGTACTGATACTCAAAGTACAACCAGTATTCAAAAGACGCTCGGTGAAGATAAATGACCGCATTTTGCGGTAATAGAAAATTTTCATTCCTGCATACTTCTGCATTAAACAGCATCAAAAATTATCGAAGAGGATAATCACCGGTGTGATTATGGCAACAACAAGATGAATAGATATCCAAAGACATCAATTATTACACAATATTCCGATTCTTAATATTTTTTCATTATGCATATTGATGAGAATGTTTTCACAAGCGTCTGAATCAAAGATATCAATAACGTGAATAATATTCCAAGAAAAACTTGACAATAAGAATATATATATATTAACAGATCTTTAAACCGATCGCAATACAATCTCTGGTGTCAGTCAAAATGTACATTTTTTGGCAATCAAGCATGCCACAATTTTCGACACTTATGATGCAGCATATTGATAATCGGATCTAATATAAGTTCATCATACGAGAAACTATTCGGGTAAGTACTTTATTAAAATTTATGATTTAATCTGAAATATATATAATGCTAAAATATATTCATGAATGTAATGAAAAGTATCAATTTTGAATATGTATATATGATATATTTATTTTGTGTTAAAATATACATATTCTGAGCATTCTTATTCGTCATTCGCAAATATATTTTGGTCAATATTCTAAAATATTAAAACATCTACAATTATCAAAAAAATTATAGATTAGATCCGAGAAGAATCGCGTTGCTGTGTCATATCATCTACTTTCAATGACTACAACGATTATGATGATAACAACGATCACCGGTGGAAGACATCTCTAACTGAATGCAATCTTTTAAGATAATATGGTATGTCATAATCCATTTTAATACTCGGAAAAATATTTCACCAACTCGCGATAATGCAATTTTAATTGAATAATGTAAATAATATAAATATTTAATAGTGTACGAGAATATCTATATTCATATATGTATAAGTTACTTTATATTCGTTAATAAGTATCCACATAAATTACGTTAATTATAGTCTAGCAAAAATTAAGAAGACTGAAGTAAATCAAAACAAAAAGAAAAAGGCTCATTAGAATTTAAACGCGTATACGTAGTAGAATTATAGTCTATTGATAAAAATTTTAAACATTTTGATTTTAATTTAAATTTTAAA